ATATGCTAATTTTTTGGGACAGGCATTTTGGGTTTTCATGAGCTGTATGCCATAATCATCAGTATTAAAACAATTAAAGACCTGAAATATTTCAGTTGGTGTGCAATGAATCTGAAATATATGAAAGTTTCATTTTTATCATTACATTATGGAAAATAATGACCTTTATCACAATATGCTAATTTTTTGAGAAGGACCTGTACATGTTCTCGTTGTATCTCGGTGCAATGATAATAAAGCTTTTTCTGATTCTGATTTAACCTTCATTCATGCTTGTGACCAAATATGCATCGTAATTTCATTCTGCAGTGCATCTCTCATTTATGTTGAATGACAATAAAGACAATCTGAATCTGAATTTAACCAAACCCCATTGAGATCACCAATCTCTTGCAGGGGGGGACCTGGGCCTGAAGACAGCATGTGTTTTGGACTGTGGGAGGAAACCAAGGAACATGTAGAAACCCCACCTAAACATAAGAATATGCTGAAAGACCCCAGGTCCAACCAGGGTTGGACCCCAGATCTGACCAGGGATCGACCCCACATCTGACTAGGGGTTGAACCCACGACCAGCCAGAGGTCGACCCCAGGTCCGACCAGGGATTGACCACAGGTCCAATCAAGGTCAAGGTCAAGGTGCCTTTATTGTCATTCACACCACATGTGGTACATGAAGTGGAACAAAACAATGTACACAGGGTCCCAGTTACTTCCAACAAAAATATAAATTGTAAAGAAAAACAGTAGTAAGATCCAAGATATGAACTAAGAAATATGCTACACTAAGAATATACTAAGCAATAAAAGTACAAAACAATGTGCCAAACAACAACAGCACGAACATGAGTCTGTGTGAGCAGATGAGGATACATGAACACAGCAACATGAAATAATCAGGGGTCAACTCCAAGTCCAGCCAGGGGTGGACCGCAGGTCAAACCAGGGATTGATCCCTGGTCCAACCAGGGATTGAACCCACTGGCTTCTTGCTGTGAAGCACCTGTGCTAACCACTAAGCTGTCACGTTTAGATAAATTACAAACATCATGAAATATGCACTATAATAAAAAAGCAATGACATACATGAAGTGACAGAGATAGAGCTTTACTAGCCCGACACATTTCCAACAGTGTCATCCACCTGACATCATACGTTCAAATACTTCTCGATGCAGGAAATACATTATTTTACTTACTGTTGCATCACTATAATGGTTGTTATACTGAAAGTAATTTATCGTTTTCTCTGTGCAGCAGAGTTCAGAGACAGTGGGAGCTGCTTCACGCTGCATTTTGTCCATGGTGAGTATTTCCCAGCGGCGCCGGATTCATTTTTGAGGTGGGAGGGCCATGAGGGTCTTTACCCTGATTCATGCTCAGTAAATCAGGTAGAAAAATCCAACAACGTTAAGTCAGGTCCAGGTTCTGTTTGTATTCACTTCACTGAGCTGGAGCCCAGCCACAGATTTATTGTTTTTCATGTTTTGGAGTTAGATTATTACATGCAGTTTCTGTCAGTTTAGTGCCGAGCCCCGAGGAACATTTTATTTGGCCCAAAAACAATCTGATCTGAGTTTAGCTTCTGTAAAACATAAATTACACAGAGAATTTCATTAAAATGTATGAAAACTAAAAGGCCTTGCCCTGAAGCTTTTTGATGTTTAACTGCTGTGAAACATATGAGTCAAATCAAAGAGCTGGTGTCAGACTTCAGCTGAGCTCAAACATGAGATCATCTGCTCAGCTGAGTCAGATGTGCCTGTGTGTACAAACTGAAACACACTGTTATACATCAAATGCCTTAATGCATAAATGAGCATTTAATACCAAAACCAGTGTGCAATTACAGAGTTAAACCATTAGGGTGTAACGGAAATAAAAACCTCACGGTTCAGTTTGATACAGATCTTTTTGCTCAACCAGTTTCTCTACCGTTGACTGGTGTGACAAGAATTGTACATTTACATTTTTAGGTTTTCCATGCAGATGAGTTGCCCAGCCAGATATGTGCTTTTGTGTTTGCTTTTTATACATTGCAGTCTGATGTGACTTTGCACCTCCTCACTTTTTTTTTTCATTTAGCCTTTATTTATACAGGAAGTCTCATTGAGCCACAATAACTCATTTTCAAGAGAGATCTGTTTAGGGAGCAGATGGGGGTTAAGGGCATTGCTCAGGGGCCCAGAGTGGGGCGAATGAGGGTGGAGGGAGGTGTGGGAGTTCCACCTTTTCCACTAACATTTTGATGTTTACGGTACCGGGAGTTGGACCTGCGTCTTGCCGATCACAGGCCCATCTTCTAGCCTTTTGCTTTTGCTTGTCCATCTTTCTAACTTTTGGTGTCTCTCAGTGTAGCGAGAAAAAAAGCAGAAGCCTTGGATGAGTCAGAAATATCTGGAGATCTTTATATCTGTAAACGTATATCTCTGATATCTGATATACTTCTTATGAAGTGTTTGCTGTTATAATAATAGTTCTGGTTGTTGAGAATGGTTTAGAGGTAGATGAATGTTTCTTCATACTTCTTTTTACAAACTACACAGAATCCCAACATGTAGCTTTTGTTCACTTTTCCATCCTGGTGGTCCTTACATCCTGATGCTGCTCAATAACCCTGGTATATGAATCTAACCAGGTCCCCTGGACGGATTCTTCTTGTTGAAACGTTTCGTCTTTTGTCCTCTATCCATCCAGAGGACATGTTGTTCATTGGTATTATGAGTAAGTGTTGTGTGCACATCTTGTTGTAGGTAGCTCAAATCTCACTCTCCACTGTAGTTTGTCACATACTGAACATATTGTAAAACAACACTGTCATTATGTGACACATACCTGTACCAAGCTGGAAAACCTTTATCCTAAATTTGTTACATATATTATCATATATTATACTGTCCAAAAGATGCAAACATCAATGAATTCACTTAAAGAAATAGATTTTGGAATTGTCCTGTGTATCTATCATATGGCTGTTCACCCAGCAGTGATTTTAGGTTTTATTTTTATTTTGGGTTCATTTGTTCAAAACACATTTCTGCCAACTCTAGTTTTACTGAATACATTCACTTACTTCATGTAAGATCTTCAGGCCTAGGCCTCCCTTGCAAAAGAGATGTGTGATCTCAATGGGATTTGCCTGGTTAAATAAATGATAATAATAATAATAAAGATATGCCTTGTGAAAACTGGAAATGGCTTGTTTCTTGCTAAATACATTTATAATGAGGCAGTGACTGAGTGCTTTGTCTTTTTTGTTCCACAGGAAAATTGACACGTGGAACAGAAACCTGATGGTGTCGGCCTCCATTTATGTGTCTGATGCTTCACGATGACTTAGAGGACGCTTGACCGGAGGGTCCCCTGATAACACTTCAGATGTCCAGATTTCTGCTCTGAAGCCGCTCTCCTGACTACATTAGTGGGTTGTATTTTTTTGGAGACTGCTCACTGTCTGATTCATCGCTATGGCTAGCCTGGTGATCAACGAAACTGGGATGGAGGACTGTGGGATTGATGACTCCTTCAAGTACGACCTGTACGCTTCAGTTTACAGTGTGGTCTTTATCTTAGGCCTGGTAACCAACTGTGCGGCCCTCTTTGTGTTTTGCTTCCGGATGAAGATGCGCAACGAGACCACAATGTTTATGACTAACTTAGCATTGTCAGATTTAGTTTTTGTTTTTACTTTGCCATTCAAGGTTTTCTACAATGTCAATCGAAACTGGCCATTTGGAGATGGATTGTGCAAGGTTTCAGGAACAGCTTTCATCACCAACATCTATGGCAGCATGCTTTTCCTCACTTGCATCAATGTAGACCGCTTCCTGGCCATAGTGTATCCTTTCCGCTCGCGCACCATCCGCACTCGCAGGAATGCAGCAATGGTTTGTGCTGCTGTATGGCTGACCATTGTGGGTGGAGGAATATCTGTGACTTTCTTCTCTACCATCAACAGCAAACACAGAGCCACTACATGCTTTGAAGGCTTTTCAAAAAAAACCTGGAAGACCTATCTGTCTAAAATCACCATCTTCATTGAGGTAAACACAAACATGTCTACAAATATAGTCAAGGAAAAAAAGGAAGTCCACACCTTTCCTTCACTGGTGTTTTACATATCAGGACATCACAAAAAATGATGTGGTGATTAGAAGCTTCTAAAATCATTTTGAACCTAACGTCAAGTGAACAAAGCAGTCAATCTCTTCATGTCAGTATTGATTAAACAACCAAAATGGAAAAGGGGTGTGAAAAGTTCAACCATGTAGCTTTTATAGGATTTAAAAGAAAAAGAATCAGCCAAGTTCAGTTACTCACATGTATTGATTACATGATCAACTGCAAGTGAAACCATATTTTATAAAAGCAGGAGCTTTTTACAGTTTACTGAGGCAGATCATTTTGTGTGCTAATAAAAAGTCAAGTGGAAAGACATCAGCGATGACCTTAGAGAAGCAACTGTTGCTGTCTGTCAATCTGAAAGAGTTTTAAGATCATTAAAACAAAACAGGGTCAACCATTCTACAGCAAGAAACATTATTCACTTGGGATGGGGGGTGGAGAATTTGGCATTTGCCAAACTTTTCAGGAGTAGAAGTGACAGAAAACTGACCTCAAAGTCAGACAGTGCAAAGCTCTGAGAAACAACCAATAACAAACAAGAGTTCCAATTCAGACTCTACAGACTCTACTATTAGTCTCTTTAGAATGATTTGTTCAATTAGCTTTGTATAGATCTAGTAGAGCGCTGTATGAATGGGTACACAAGGACACAGATTGTAGTGTACAGCGCTTTGAGTGTCTTGATAAGATAGAAAGGTGCTATATAAGTACAGTCTATTTAAATGAAACAAAACACTTCTTGAACAATGTCCTTCCAACAGATGAAACCAAAGTTTATATGTTAACACGTAATGCACAGCAACATGTTTGGCAAAAACCTACAGCATATCAGCAAAAACGTGTCATACCAAATGTCAGGCATGGGTGGAGGAGTGGTGATGAGTTTGCAGTGGACCTGGACACCTTGCAGTCATTGAGTCAACCATGAACTCCTCTGCAGACCAAAGAAAACTCCAATCTGATAAACTTAGCTCAAACTGGGTCATAATAAAAGAGCAATGATCCAAACACAACAGCAAATCTACAACAGAATGACTGAAAAAAAAGAGTTGAGGTGTTATAATGGTCCACTCGTGTCCAGACCTCCACCTGATTGAAAGGGTGTGATGGAACTTCAGAAACACATCACACAGCCACAAATCACAAAGAACTCAAGACATGTTGTAGAGAGGAGTGGGCTAGAAGTCCTTCTACAACTATAAAGGAGACTGATAAAGACTGAAAAAAATAATGAAAGTTATTGTTGCTAAAAAAAATTCTGCAAGCTGTCAATCATGGAGTGAACTTCATTTTTCCATGTTGCCTATGTTTTTGTTTCATAAATACAGTAGAATCTGTACATTTTCCTACAATTGAAGTTAGAGTTTAATCATTTTAGAACTTGGTAAAAAAAAAAAAAACAACGTATTGTTTTAAATGATGTCCTGACATATAAAACCAGAGGGTGGATTATTTTTTTTTAACCCTGTCTGCATGCATCAGTTGGACAGTTTCTTTGTACGGGGCTATAAGATTAAACTCTTATTTCATTTTTTTCTGCCCCCCACCCCCCACCCCCAGATTGTAGGTTTTCTCTTCCCTCTTTTGGCCAATTTAGTGTGTTCCTCACTGGTTCTACGGACGTTGCGCCGCCCAGTGACTGTTGGTCATGGATGTGACAGCAAGAAACGTGTCCTGCGAATGATTGTGGTCCATCTAACCATTTTTATCATCTGCTTTGTGCCCTATAACTTATTGCTCTTCCTGTATGCCCTTGTGCGAACCCAGGCCTTGGCTAACTGCACTGTGGAACGCTTTGCCCGAACACTTTACCCCATCACCCTGTGTCTGGCCAGTCTCAACTGCTGCCTGGATCCCGTGGTTTACTATTTTACCTCAGAGAGCTTCCAGAAGAGCCTAACAATCAGTGGCAAAGGGTCTGGATCACGCCCTGAGAGCATCCCCCGCAGCGACACTGAGACACAGTACACAATACAAAATCTTTCCACAGACACACAGACTGTGGCCAGCAATGGAAAAGAGACAACAATATCTGACAGTCAGTTATGACTCAACCTGGTTGGGAAAAAGTTGGTTCTGAAGAACCTTTGAACTTGAACAATGAAGCAACAGGCTGTTTGATTGTGGACGTGACAAACAAATAGCTCAGCAGATTAGTTAAGCCTTGAGGTAAGTCTTGACGTATGGCCTGAGCTTTATAAATAAATCCACTCCTGGAGAGCAAAGGAATGTATCTGTATTTGTTCTGAATGAACATTGTGGGGCCACATAGCCACCAACACTTTGATCATTGTGATAGTCAAGATAGAAAAAGAGCCTCCAAAAGAGACTGCAGTATGACAACATCCAGGCTTAACCCACACAAAGCATTATACATTGTCCATAAAATGGAAATCCCTTTCCATTTCGTGGACACATTTAGTATTTTATAACTTTTAGATTATGAGTCTTAATTCTAACGGCTTAAACAATATTTTGTATTTTATTAGATATCAATGACACTACTTGTGAGATTTGTGGTTACTATGTACAGTATATAAATCTGTTGATCTGCTGAGTGAAATGTTGAAGTGATGACACTAAATTCCTTTCTTGAATGTTTTTTGAGATCGCATTCATTATTTCCCTCCAGCAGCATGTTCAAAACTGCTTTGCACTACCACACTCTGTTTGAAGGACTAAATTCTGAACTTGTGGGGTTGTTTTACTCCAACTCAAGTTTATTTTTCTGTTATCTCTGTGAGCACAGCAACAAGGCAGGAGCAAACCCTAATTTATTTGAGGACCCTTGCCTGTTTGCCGTGTCGCAGGCCAAACGCTCATTATGACTTAAGCAATGGTCTATTGTTTGCCTCTGAATGGGGCTCTCTGCCTTAAGCTGGCATTAAACTGCAGATCTGCACCAAGTCTCTTACACACAGCAAATATGCTCACATTCCAAAGCACAAATGAACAGTCTTGACTGTTTGCCCAAAATCATGCTTACACAACAAAAGCATGAAACAGAAATGAGTCAGCAGATCCAAAAACAGGAAATGCTGGTCAACATGTGTGGACAAATTTGTGGAGTACTTTTTGGATGAAATGCTCTAAATCTGACATCAGGCTCCCAGTGAAATATTGGTCACAACATGGAAGGGAAGGGAAGTCTGAGATTGTCATCATTATATGTTCCCATACGTTGGTGAAATTGGTTCTCTGCATTTAACCCATCGCACCTGGGATACACCCAGGTGGAGCAGTGGGCAGCTATGTAAGCTCCCGGGGAGCAGTTAGGGATTGGGTGTCTTGCTCAGAGACACCACAACATGTGGGAATGGCTGGGGATCGAACCTGGGACTTTCTGGTCCCAAGTCAGCTGCGCTAACTCTACTCCATCTCAGCCCCAGCTCATAAAGGGATAAAATAAACTCCATGGATTAAAGTTCTCTGTCGATGCAATGAATTCCCATCATCTGTAAAAATGAGGAGGGGAAGAAAAAGCGTTTTGTAGTGGTCTTGTTAAAGCCATCCAATCTAATGATGATGATACAGGAATTGCATAATTAATTAATTAAACTGAAGCTGCTATAAACCAATAAACAGAACCAGAGTCACAGTTTGAACCAGTCAGAGCAAAGCAGGGTGGGGCCTGCTGTACAGCCATCCGAAGGGTAGACGGAATTGTACCGGGCTGCAGCTTCTATGAAGTGCTGCCTTTATCGCTTAAATAAGAAAAGGGGAAAAAACATGAGGGGAGAAGGTATAAAAAAAAGATCTCTCACACTGTGTCCTTGGACATAGTGTAAGGCAGCCAAAAAAAAAAAAACTTCAGCACAAGCAACATACATAGACGTTATATATTTTGCAGGGGGAGTGGCGGGGTGGAGTGTGACAAGACAGTGAGATTGTCCATGAACACTTCTAGATAGTTTCCATAGTCTTGAGAGAAGGATATTACAAGGTCATTACAAGGATATTATATCAGTCGGTACAACTCTGATAGGGTCCACAGATGTTCTTTTTTTTGGGGGGGGGGGGTGAGCAGGAGCAGAGTGTCTTGTTAATAGAACATCTAAGGAGAAATTGAGATAGTCAGCCTTTCAAGGCCAAAGCCAAATTCAGATTTCAACATCGTTTTGGGTCAGGCCAAACTCACTATTTTCCACATCTGCCTTTATAGTCGTTAGTACATCTCATGGCGACTCCAAACAGTCGAATTGTGATTACTTACACCAAAGTCAGGGTTACAACTTCTCCAAGATTTATTCTTTCCAACCGTCCATGAACACCACCAGAAGTTCCACAGTCCTGCCTGCTCAGCTCTGATACCAGTTCACAGATAGTTTGCACAGAGTCTGAATGTTGCCAAGCCTGGCACACACATTCCAGATAGCTTAAACAGCTGCTGATGTTCCCAATCTTTTCAATAATCCAGAATTTCACAGAAAAGCAAAATCCAGTTATCATAAATCCAATTATGTTTCCGAGGTAAGAGGGGTCTCTTTCGTAATGTCTTCTTGTTGAGAAAATTTGATTAATTGCATTGAAAGACCAGCTGAACAAATCCGTAGTTTACAATTCAGAAGGTATGCAAAAAGGGGCTCTGAAAAAGGTTCACAAGACAAAGCGCAAAGCAGGGATGGAGAATAGGAAAAAGAGTGACAGCCTTTGTCGAGGGCAAGTCAGAAAATAAATATCTGTAAACCTAGAGAGAACCATTCTTGTTGAACCTAGAGATGACCATTCTCTGTAAATCTTGAGATGACAATTTTATATAAACCTAGAGATGATCATTCTCTGTAAACCTAGAAATGACCATTCACTGTAAACCTAGAGATGACCATTCTCTGTAAATTTAGATATGACCATTCTCTGTAAACCCAGAGAAGACCCTTCTCTGTAAAC